TCGTAATAACCTCATAATATTATATACTTACCTTGGCACTATTTTTATACACAAAACCAGGGTGATAAAGTGACCCCTTCTTCTTCTCCAGTTCCTCACTGAACAAGATCATCTGCTCGAAAAAGAACATTCTCCTTTCTTTTCCCTTGAAATGTTGTAAACTTGAAATTCCCTCTGAGACGAGAAGGGTATCTTGACGGAGTAGTTTACCCTGCGCTGTGATTTTACCCTATAGTGAATAACAATAAGCTCAAATGTTGATCACAGGAAGTGAAATGGTGTACTGTAAAATACTTTATTTTCACTTGGAATCAATTTTCACTGACATAATGATTCAGGGAAAATAATTCGAGTGAAAATACCTTTTTTCCTATATTTTACCATTCAACTTGTTAAAAATCAGTGAAAATAAATTCCATACAAAACACCCAAAATGTCTTTTCAGCTAAAATAAAAGCATAATTTTGACTGCAAGTTGATCATAAGTATAAACCATGAATTATATTAGAGCGAAACAAATACACCAATGAGATTTGAGAATAGTCCAAAACAACTACTGTAAAATACGTAATTTTTGCTTGTAATGTATTTTCGTTGTTTTCACTGAAGGGGTGATTCAGTGAAAATAAAATCTAGCGAATATACCTTTTTTCCTATGTTTTACGTTCATCTCATCAAAAATCAGTGAAATTAAACTCCATACTAACCACACAAAAAGTCTTTTCAGCGAAAATTAATTCCAGCTAAAATAAAGTATTTCACAGTATACCGGGTACATTATGTATGCATTATGGGAGGCATTATATCACAAGAGGGCGCTGTTCAAAATGCCAGCGCTGTTTTAAAACACTGTGATACTGAATGAATAGTATACTTACATCCCAACCTTGAAGCCTTCCGAGTGCCATCATATCATTTGCCCTTTTAGGAACTACACACATGATATCGTAAGCTTTTTCTAATTCTTTACAATCAATACCCATCTTTTTACTTTGCTTTAAAAAATCCTGCAAAAATATCAGACAAGAATTTTATTTCCATTACCCATGATGCACTACAACAATATTTCCATTACCCATGATGCAATGAAATTATGCAATGTGTTCAACTCCCTGTGCAAACAAAACAATAAAAAATCAAA